TGGAGCATCTTATGGGTTTTAGCCCAACTTGACAATCCATGGAGCATTAGCCCACTATACAAGTATGGGTATTTTACACAATCAACCCATATATTTAATTAGTCTTCTTTTGATCACTTAATTAATTCTAGATTAATTCTTGATCAATACTAATTAAATAATCTTATTAATATATTATAACTTATAATATATTAACAGACCTTTAGTGTTATTTCTCTCATTATAGTCTATCCAAATGCATGATGCCATGCAATCCAAATGGACCATGTCGGGTCGGGTCAAGTCTTACCAATTATAGTTATGGACTTAGACATTAATCCAACACTACCACCAACCATCTTTTCTCAAGCAACCTCAACCACAAACGAACCTCTGGTTAGTGTCAACGTATCTGATACGGGGGGCACTTACCTCAGGTACCGAAACCATTGTTACAAACCCACCTCCATCTCCATCACCCTCAACCGAATCTGGCTCTACTCTCGGTGGAGCTGACATGGAATTTGAGTCATTTTACTATAGTCCGTATCGAGTTCAATATGACAAAGATGATGATGATGTTCCTCTTACCGAGCGTCACTTGAAGGATCTCAATGCCAAGCTTGATCAGCTACTGGGATCTTCTGCTATTTCCTCCACTTCAGCATACTCTGATGCTGCTATGAAGGCTTTAGTTGAGACTTTGATCAAACAGCATGATCAATCTATTGACAAAGCTACTCAAGCTGTTGATGTTGCCACTCTCTCTTGCAACAATGCTATTGGTGAGGTCAAAACTCTCCTTTCTGATTCACAGTTATTCATGGAGTCTCATCAAAGCACTGCAGAGGTCAATACAATTAAAGCAAATGAAGCCATTGCCTCTCTGTCAAAATCTCTTAAGGCTGAAAAAGAAAAATTTGAAGCAGTTCGCCAAGGTCTTCATGCTGATAGTGCTACTCTTCTTTCTTTCGTTGATTCTCGTCTTGACAAATTTCAAGCAGACTTTGCCCTGGATAAAAAAGTAAGGGAAGACCGTGCTCTCTCCCAAACTCAGATTTCCAATCTCTCTTTGGGACTTAGTCAAGCACAGAAGGATATTGAAGCCCTAAAAACCGAACGCACAGTGATTAAAAGCTATGTGAGTGATGTGCATCTTCTTATTTCAAATCTTTTGGATGCTCATGATTCGGTTCTCACAATCTCCGTCCGACAACATTTAAAGGAGAAACTTCTTCCTGCCCTGGAAATGTTGAGTAAGATTGAGGGTGTTACGAAGCCGATTGCTACTCCGCAACAAGGGGGAGAAGATTCTCAAAATCCACCCAAACAACCACCTCCGAAATAGTCTGGTAAAAATACAACAAATCAGGAGAAGGTCACCACTAAACCGAAGGGTAATGTAGCTTCGGATTCTAGTGTATTGGACAAAAAGAAGGGCATTATGGATCATAGTGATGACGAAGAGGAAACTGAGGAAGACCTTCTAAAAAGAAAGAAACGTGATAAAGAACTTGATGAAACTCTGAAAGTGGCAAGAGAAGAAGAAGAAAGAGAGAAAAGGGAAAAAGAGGCACATGATACGTTGGAGTGCAAGAAAGCTCTATTTCCTTTATGGACTGTGGAGAAGCTGATAAAAGAAGCGATTGAGTTTCCAAGCACTCATTGGCTGGAAGCAGTTACTTCTTTTGATTGTGAAAACACCAAGGACTCACAGTTTGAAATGCCTATAACCCGAAAGGCCTTTGTGTTTCACAGTTTTGATGCGACAGTAAATATTCCTTCTCCAGACCCGAAGGTTGATCGGGATATTATTGATTTTTATCTTAAAATATTCTCAACCCCAGTACTTGGCGTGGAGTGCACAGAAAATTACATCCGTCAAGGTACTGAAGCCTACTTCGGCAGGGCCTTTCGTCAATGTTGGTTTCAGGGTGACCCGAGGGTCAGATGATTCGGTTCATATGTTTTCACTGGCTGATCTACCGAACCTGAATCCCCACTATTGGATTCTTCTAAACAACATTATGCTTTCCAATCCACAGCAGTACGAGCCAATCATTGATCATATCAAGAGAATGCTAGCTTCCTACATTCATGAGGTTACTAAGATGGATCAGGAGATTGCTCTTGTTATGAGGAAAATGCCTACAGTCAAACCCATTGGGACTTCATGCGATGCTACCAAGATGAAGATGGGCAAGATTGATTCTAAGTATCATGCTGTTATGTTCACAAGACAAGACAATCAGAAGTTCGTATTCTATCTTGATGACAAACACCTATTTTCCACGGCTTGCTTGGAGCATATTTTGGATATCATCCACAGGTGTAAACAGAACGAAGCAGCAGATAAGAAGAACTTCACGGATATGTTTCAGTGGTACATAGACTTCCATCATACTCTTCTTGCCATCATACCGAAGCTCTTCAAGACTGTGAAGAAGGGTGTTGTTGCCCAACCCATTTGACCTCTCGCCTCTATTGATGCAAAGGGGGAGATTATTGGGTATGGGGTGTTGCGTCTTTGGTCTCGTGTAATAGTCCATCATGTATTCACGGTTTGGGCCTGTCCAACCGTGTTTAGTCTTTAGGGTTTATAAATATAGTGCATGCATGCTTAGATTAGATTACGCTTCTCATTGATTATTTTGCATTGAATCGCACTATAACCCTAGCATACCTCTAGAGTCGAAGTTCTTTATCGAGCTCTTCTGAGGTGGAGCATAATTTAATCATTCGACATTCGTCTGATTCATTCTTGTGTTCTTTCATTGATTTATATTTGTTTATCTGTTAAGAATCTGTCGATATAATAGCGCATTAATCTCATCAATGATGATATAGAGATCACTTGTTAATTCAGACCCTTGGATGCAACTATTCAAATTCAAAACCTCTATCAACCTATCTCTCTTTTGCTCCAGCAGAGGTCAAAATCTTTTGTTCTCATTGATTCCATATATTTGTAGTTTCTTTGATGCTTTTATTTTGTTCATATAAATACCCTGATTTTTGAACTACAGCTCTCATTTTGGCCATTTAGGTTTACTTTGTTCATTTTGTTAGGTTTACTTTATTCATTTTGTTAGTGCAATTTAGGGGAGTTTGAATATCATTTTGCAATAGGTTCTATAGTTTGACTTTCGTTCTTAATTGATTTGCAATGTTCTTAATTGATTTGCAATAGGTTCTATAGTTTTTTTTTATTTATCTAACATAATACATTGCTTTTTGTGGTTCAAGAGTAAATACTATCACTAATATTATCATTGCTCTGAATACTCTTCCTAAAATCATTGGTGCTGTAACTTTTTATACCTTGATTTGCATGCTATTTTTTACTCATCATGCATAAGACCACCCATTACTTCAGAAACTGCAACAATTGAGACAGATGCTGCTCCTGCTCCCTTCCAAAGTGTTCAATCAGATGAAAAGATGGATCTACCCTCTGTTGGAATGGATTCTTCTATAGATATAAATAGTAAATACATTGACAATAAAACCGATGAAATTAAGATCAATATTGCATCACCTGAAAAGACATCAGAAGCAAAAGATGAGGTTGAGGTGGTGGTGGTGGTGGTGGTGGGACCCGAGGTTGTAACTTTTGCCCTCACTTTCTTTGGATATGACAAAATTGTAACTTTTGTCACATTAAGATTAAAAATAATAATATATTTTGTTAATTCTTTAGCTTGTTTTTGTGCAGGAGTTGGAATATTCTCCAGTTCAGAATAATACAGGTTTGCCTCATTTATATGCAGAATGTGTATTTAATGAATATGTTTAAGTATTTTGGACTCATAGTTTTATTGCTAAGAATTATATTTTTCGAATATTTTCTTTTATCTTCAGATTTTCTGAATTTTGATGATGAAGTTGACAATGATGTTGAAGAACCTGATGAAGATTTGAGTGACATTGAAGAAAAACATTTAATTGATAACTGTGGATGGTCTTCACGTACCAAGTAATCATATTTACTTATTTTTTTTACATTAATTTAAAAAGAAAATAAATAGATCCTTTTTTTGTAGGGTTGTTGGAAAATATCTCCAAAATATGTTTAATAAGGAAGAAGAGAATGGAAGAAAAGCTCTTCGTATGAATAACCTTTTATCTGGGAAACTCGCAAGGAGGCATCAAGAATGTTTTTCGAAACTTTGGTAAACTTTATATATTTTTTTTGTTAAATATTTTTATCATATTTTGTGTTAAAAGATGGGAATGATTTTTGTAGGTTCTTAAAACAAATGATTATATCCACGTGGAACAGAGTGATGCGTTTGAGAACATTGAGATATTGCCATGATCGAAGCTCCTAAAATCAGACTTTTGATATGATGAAAGAAAAGTTATGTTGTGTAGCTTGGTTTAGTATTTTAAGCATTTTATATGGAGATGATCATATATTTACTTTGTAATTAATCTATAAAATAATACCTTCTGTATTATTGTTAGATGTTAACATGTCTTCTCAGTTCTTTATTAATAATCTTGTTTTAGATAAGGTAATTCCTTTTTTGGAACTTGTGTTTGTGTGGGAGGGAAAATTTATGGAGAACCTTTGTTGATGGTGTAAAAGAAGAAGTTGTATTATCTCCTGCCAATGCCCTTTCCATTATTGCAACAGGAGAAGGTAATAACCAATAGTTCATTGGACTTTTGGTTATTTAATTTATTTAATCAGAATTTAATTACTTTATGGTTTTTCTTTCCTTTTTTGCTAATTCAGAGCAAAGACACGTTGGTTCCACAAACATAAATCTGCACAGTAGCAGAAGTCACACAATATTTACAATGGTAATACTCTGTGTATTCCAAATTTTATCATCTATTTTCCCCATTGTTTTATGTATGTTTTAAGTTTTAGCAACACCTATTGCTTCCAAAAGTAATGAAAATATCATATAATTTTATTTTCCTTTTTGTGGAATCAAACATATTTCATATTATCTTATTATGTGACATCTCCATTTTCACGGCCAGAAAAGACCGATTTGTTTATGCTTTATTTAAAAATCAGAGTATACTTTTAAAGAAATACGTTATGAATGATAAAGAATTTGTCAAAGCATTTCCGAAGAAATGTATTTTCATTATATTAAAAACCTCGGGATGTCATGGTCAATACATATCAAAAGCATAAACAGAAACAACATATGCCTTACAACATCTATTTATTCTAGTGGCTTATAATCCATTGATATCTCATTAGATCATCACTCCTGTGCTCCCTTATCACTACCTGTAATGCAATAAACTGAGTGGGTCAGGCTTGGGAGCCTGGGGAGCACATAGGGTTTTCAACCCACAATAATTAAGTTTATTAATTTCATCAAATCATTCAACCCGATAACCCATTCCCGTTATCCTAACTTTACGTCCCTAAAACATCTATTATAAGGGACCTAGCCTAAGGATTTTCATCGGGGTGGACAACATTGCTCAGGGGATTCCTCAGCAATTTATGTCAAATAAGGCAACCATGAGGGGGATGGAGTACACCTGGTAAACACGTACTTCAAATAAACACCTACAGGTTGCGAGTCTGCCAGCGTTCCACTAGACTGTCTAGAATAGTCTATGGTCGTCATCTATACTATGATAGATGACTGGATCATCGTAAACATCGAGGCCTCTCATCATTTTATTTCAACACGCATCAACTATTTCATCTACCCATGTTTTACCCAACCTTTTCGTATATCTAAAATACATATACAATTTAATTCATTTAAAACATGTATAAATCATTCATCCAACATAGATATCAAGAACACAGATAATATGCACACATAGCATGCTATTTATATTAAATACTTCATATCTTTGTGTAAGATGAAAGTAACTATGCACTCACTTGTTAAAGTGGTGATTCCAACTTGGACAGCGCTTCGCTTCTTAACAATATAATTTCCTTCGACGAAACCTAGTATTATTAGCACTGGATTTTAGTCTAATATTTTTTGCGAATAATTACGAGCGATTTTGTTTTATAAGTGTAAAACAATACTTTTCAACCACTATTTACAGACAGGGGCCAGACATGAAACATCGGAGGGCATGACCATTTTGGCATTACAGCACTTCTGAAATCCAACAACCCTATGCAACCCTTCAAACCAGATTCCCCATACCGCGAGTAGTTAAAAGATATTATAATAACACTTTATATATTATATTTT